GGTGGGTTCCAAAGCCAATTAAGTCAAAACGCCACTCCAAGTACCACACTCATTTAGCTAGGTTTACTTTTTAAAGAACAAATTCCTGACACCTAAGTGCAGAATTTAGGATAAAGTTTATCTTTTCTTCCTAATATAAAATAAAACAATAAAATATTATAGTGATATGGTAATATAATATGAAAATTAGAGACCAATCACTTGTGTTTAGACCTCAGGTCTACCATTACTAGCTTTGATACCTTCATATTTAAAATGGTTAATAATAATTATCTCACAGGTTAGTAGTGAGAACTGAATCTAGTAAATATAAGATGTTAGAACAGTACCTATTCTATTTGTGATAAGTACTAATGTTATTTTTAAGTGACAAAGAGCGTACTTGCATGGATTTATGTAATATGTATATAGAATAAACATAAAAGCATTTGAGATAATGAGTACATTCAGAAAAGGTATATTTCCCATTATCTATTGAAGGTACTTGAATTGCTTGCTTAATAAATTCAGCTGATTCAGTGCTTTTAAGGTTTTACATTTAATTTATAATTATATATTTTCCCAATACTCTGTGAGCAATAATAGGAATTGTTGTGCTTACACATAATACAAGGAGTCTGCAAAAGTAGAGCATGTTCCAAGATTTGCTTTGTTCATTTATTTTTGAATCTCAGTCATGCTTTTCTTTGTATGTTCTCTTTAAACATTTTTAATAGTGTGGTAAATCATAAGTATTTCTTTTGTAATTGTCATTTACTGTTCCCATAAAAGCATTTTCAAAATAAAGTCCTCTAAGCATCTATCTAGTCCCTTTCTCAGTACAAATTGACTGGCCTTAAAAGACATTTGCTCTGGCGGTCTGCTTAAAAATGCGAGAGATGAAAGTCACAAAAACTGGAAGAAGATGGCCTCTGGGGAAGGAACTGTGTGATGAATCTGAAATTGCGAGGCACACTGCTCCTGCTTTCTCAGGCAGAGCTGTGGCCTCGAAAGCCTACTTTCATAAAAAGGAGTGTTATTCAGGCCATCATGGTTTATGCCACTGAATCTTTATCCCCATAACATGATGCTATGGCAGTGACAGGTGGCCACTACTAATGCAGTCCATTGCAAAACATAAATGTCTATTTTGAAGAGGAAAAAACTCAACTATGCAGCAAGACAAATTAAAGTAGCCAAAAGAAAACAGAGAAAGAAAAAGCGGTAGAATTACTGTCTACTGCCAGACTGTAATAAAGAACCTCTGCCCTGCTGAGGTCCTTGACAATTCTCCCCAAATACAGATGTCAAAAGCTACCACGCGGCAGTCAAATTGTGAAAAGCATGACTCTTCAAAAATGCTATAAGAAAAGAATGTTTTTCTAAGTCAGGGATCTGAAGGGTAAAGTAAATTCCAATGTCTTCACTTGGCCATTTTGTACTGTAAATAAATCTTGCAACACTACATAAATGCTTTTTTTCTCCACCTCTGTCATTTTTAGATTATACTTTTCTTTCCCATTGTAGGAATCAATGTTTGTCCTCGTTTGTGTTAAACTTTTCTCTCTTCTTCCTAGTAACCAGGGAAGTGGGGAATGAGTTCACTGACATTTTATACAGCCAGGTTTTTTCAGCTAACTATTTTTTATTGATTTTATTGAGAAACAAATAGCAATGAGACAGTTTCAAAACAGGTTAGTAGGATAGTTACAATAATTAACACATTCCATATTGTTGTCTTCATAGCAGTTATTCATAGTACAAGATGCAGGCATGATATCCTGTTCAAACACTATTAGTTCAAATCTTTCTTCTCATTTTTTTTTCTATTTCCATTTTTTTCTTTTTTAAAAATTTTTATTTATTTATTTATTTATTTTTTTGTCCTGTCAGAGGTGAATATTCTATTGGCATCTAAATACTATAAGTGTTTGAATTCAACTAAACATCTAATACTGTCTAGCAGTCTATAATATTAGTGGGTTATCCTCAGAAGTTATTGACTTGAGCCTTTTAGAGCTCATCGTATTAATATGGATTTACCTTATATACCTCATTTTTATACTTTTCTACTGGATGGTTAAGACCAAAATATAGCAAGACCTATATACCCAGAATTGTAACTTTTGTATCTGATAAGGTCAGCTAAGTACTCTCAGGATTTATCCTGTAGCCCTGTACCACCTTTTGTACATTCTTTTGTCAGTGACTGACCTGAGGATGAGTCACGGCCATTACTTGACCAATTTGCTCTCTGTGAAAGCTTGAGAAAATGTTTTTTCTCTCCATGTGATTCTCCCCAGGCTCACTTTAAATCCGCGAACACTTTTCTCTGTGACTTCATAATCTTCTTGATCAGAAAGTTTGGAGCACAACTGAGTTACATGTTGTTACAGTACAGGTACTCCTATGTCCTGAGTCTTCACTGAACTTGAAAGGCTAGGGCCAAAATGTTGGCTAATCATGCAGCCCTTCTTTTCTCCAAATTTTGATCTGCTAACTTAGGTTGTTAACCCTCCAGAAGAGAAGCTATTTATTAACCTGCAATATATGATGTATGGTTTATCCTATCTGTAGAAATATCAAACATTTTGGCATATCCTGGAACAGGTATTTTCCACCAGATATTGATATGTTGAACTTTAAGTCCTTACAGAATATGAAGGAAAAAAATAATTATATAAAAGTAGAAATAAGCATTTACATATTTTTACAAAGAAATTTAGAAACCAAGTCATATACAGAATTGTAAGTCTTTACATTAGGGAGATAATACGACATTTACAGATGTGGGTCTGATTTATTTCACTAATAAGTATATCTTCAAGGGGTATCCACTTAAATATGAAGGCTTCAAGTTTCTGAAGCCTTCTGAGAAGTGTGTGTTCATCTCGGGTGCCCATTTCTGGATTGGGTCTTTAAATTTAGGGGCCCTAATGTTCTTTAGTTTTTTATATATTCTAGAGAGCAGACCTTTGTCTGAGTGCTTATTAGTTAAGAATTTTTCAAAGTTTGTGGGTTGTCTTTTCACTTTGTTGATAATTTCTTCTGACATGAAAAAACTTCTCAATAAGAGATGGTCCCAGTTGTTAATTCTTTCAAATGTTTCCCATGTGATTTGGTTTCTGTTCATGAACTCTTTGCCTACCACTATGTCTTCAAAAGATCCCCCTACTTTCTCTTCTTGGAGATTTAGTGTTTCTGATTTAATGCTCAGTTCTTTAATCCATTTTGATTTTAGTTTAGTGCATGGTGATAGACCTGGGTCAAGTTTTAATCTTCAGCATGTAGAGAGCCAATTTTTCCAGCACCATTTGTTAAAGAGACTATCTTTCTTCCAGTAAGTGTGTTTGGCCCCTTTGTCAAAGATCAGGTTGCTGAGTGCATTCCTAGAAGCCTCTGCATCTACTAGTCTATTCCATTGATCTTCAGGTCCATTTTGTTGCCAATACCATGCTGATTTTATTACAGTAGCTTTGTAGTATAATTTCAAGTCAGGAATTGTAATGCCTCCTGCTTTGTCTTTGTTGGCCAGGATTGCCTTTGCTATTCTAGGTCTTTTTTGATTACAG